CCTGACGGGGAACACAGTTTCTTCCCGACAGGCCAAGATACTAACTTGGAGATGCAAAGGTGCTTATTCAAAAATGCAAATCCTCCGTCCCGTGTGAGGCTCAAGCAAGACTTATTCATGGTGCACGTCTTTGGCAGTTCCCCACTTTCTTGCAGTTCTCACACTTTCACTGTGAGAAGGATGCTCAGAAAAGGGTCTTCTCCTGTGGTCTCCAGGATATCACTTTTTCCCTGCTGCTTTTATGTCCAGAGCAAAACTATCTCACCAAGCACCGTGCCTCTGCGCACCTGCGCCTGCCTTCCTCTCCCACATCTCCATGCCACCTGTGTCTCCTGACCCACCGCCTCACCGCTTCCCTGTCTTATTTCGAGTCTCCTCTGAAAACAATTTCTCTCTTTTTGCCAATCTTCCCTCCACCTCTGTTGCTCAACTCCATGGTCATATTTAACCTTGTACCCCTTGCTGCAGCCTTGTTTGACACAGAGAGCTTGATTCCTCAGCTTGGCTGAGCTTTGCTTGAAGCACAGAGAAAGCCTGGAGGCCGTAAGGGCAAAATTAACCTCCAGCACAATCAACTTTCACCTGGTTGTAAGATCCAAGAGTTCATTTTACCACACCTGGATCACTGGCATTCACAGGCATTATCTCAGGGGCAGGCAGTGAGGTGATACCCCACCGGTATCTGGGGTTGCCTTAAGCGTCCACTTAAAATAGTTTAAGCTGCTTAGAGAAGGCAGACTTGAGGTTGGGGAGTGTTAATGTGCTTCAGTGCCGTCCTCCTGATTACCTTGCTCCCGAGTGAAGCTTAGTAGAGCCCAGAAGACCAGAGTGCGAGGTATATTACCTCTACCCCAACGCTCTTTGCAATGCCACAAGCACTTGGATAGTGAAGTAGTAACAGATGGAAGGAGAAATTAAAAGGTGTTGGCAAGGAAATTAAGCTGCTTTCATTTGAGATTTGAGCAAACAGACTAAAACTGTACGATACGCTAGGAAAACAGTACAAGTTGAAGAGCAGTACAGAGAGAAAATTATTCTTGTATCTGTAAAGAAAGTGGTTTTAAAATAGGAACCTCACTTTGGGATCAGTAATGAGATTTACAGACTTTCATTTTTGTATTGTCATTTATTGTTGAAACATGCCCAGTTCATTTGTCTGGAAATGAGTGAAATTAGTCTAGCAGCTGGTGTCACCTCAGTGCACTTTTTCTGGTGACAACTACGTCCCCGTCGCACATCCTCCCCATCGGCAGGCACGTTTGCTGCCCCATCAGAAAACACCTAACGCATCTCGTTATTTATGCACCGTCAAGCGTATGCCAAGTTCTATATGCCTCCGTTAAACCCGGCAGAAACCGGCCAACTACAGGTAAAAGTTATTACACAGGGGAACCCAAAGAGCACAACTACTAAACCTCCGTTCTTTCAAAAAGGAGGCTAGTTAGGAATTGGCCCAAGACTTGTGAAGCAGAGAACTACCAACAGCGAGGCTGCCTCCCCGCCCCGGCGCGCCGGGGGCTTTCCGCACCACGAGCCGCGCCCGGACACCCCACCCCCTGGGCCCGTCGGCCACAAACCCAACGCAGCCCCCCCGCAGCCCCGCTCGCCGGCCGGCGGCCTCAGGCTGCGGGGGACGAAGCTGAAAGAGGCGTTGAAGGTTAACCGGGCAGCCCCGCCCTGA